GCCTGACCAACCTAGTGGCCTTCTATGATGGAGTGACAACATCAGTGGATAAGGGAAGAGCTACAGATGTTGTCTGTCTGGACTTGTGTAAGGCCTTTGACACAGCCCCCCACAACATCCTTCTCTCTAAATTGGACAGAGATGGATTTGATGGGTGGGCTCTTTGGTGGATGAGGAATTATTTGGATGGTCGCATCCAGAGTGTAGTGGTCAACGGCTCAACGTCCAGATGGAGGTCGGTGATGAGTGGTGTTCCTCAGGGGTCCATATTGGGACCAGTCTTTAATTAATCTTCATCAGCGACATAGACACTGGGATCGAGTGCACCCTCAGCAAGTTTGCAGGTGACTTAAGCTGAGTGGTGCGGTTGACACGCCTGAGGGACAGGATGCCATCCAGAAGGACAAGGACAAGCTCGAGGAATGGACTCATGTGAACCATATGAGGTTCAACAAGGCCAAATGCAGGGTCGTGCACCTGGGTCAGGGCAACCCCTGATATCAATACAGACTGGGGGGATGAAGGGATTGAGAGCAGCCGTGCCGAGAAGGACTGGGGGGTCCTGGTGGATGAGAAGCTGGGCATGAGCCGGCAATGTGTGTTTGCAGCCCGGAAGGCCAACTGTATCCTGGGCTGCATCCAAAGCAGTGTGGCCAGCAGGTTGAGGGAGGGGGTTCTGCCCCTCTCCTCCACTCTGGTGAGACCCCACCTGGAGTCCTGCATCCAGCTCTGGAGCCCTCAGCACAGGAGAGACATGGGCCTGTTGGAGAAGGTCTAGAGGAGGGCCACAAAAATGCTCAGAGGGATGGAACACCTCTGCTATGAGGACAGGCTGAGGGAGTTGGGGTTGTTCAGCCTGGAGGAGGTTCCGCGGATACCTTCTTGCAGCCTTCCAGTACTTAAAGGAGGCTTATAAGAAAGATGGAGACCGACTTTTTAGCAGAGCCTGTAGCGATAGGAAAAGGGGTAGTGATTTTAAACTGAGAGAGGGTAGGTTTAGACTAGATATAGGAAGAAATTTTTCACCATGAGGGTGGTGAAACACTGGAAGAGGTTGCCCGAAGGTGCCCCACCCCTGAAAACATTTAAGGTGAGGTTGGACTGGCCTCTGAGCAAGCTGATCTAGTTGAAGATATCCTGGCTTGTTTGCAGGGGTCTTGAACTAGATGACCTTTAAAGATCCCTTTCAACCCAAGGATTCTACGGTTCTAAGATAGAATCACAATTTGAAGTACCTGGGAGCAGGAGATAAATTTAAAGGCACTATTTGAAGTTAAATTAGAATGTAGGATTTGATAAGGTAACCATGAGATGAGGTATTTTTGTTGTTGCAGAAGATGTAAGGGTTTGGGGACTTAGGCTGTTCCTATTTCTGTGCTTGTTTTTCCTTGTATGTTGACAAGTTTTCTTGCTTCAGTGGCCTATACGACATGGTATTGTTGAAGACTGGGACCTCATGGAGAGATTCATGGAGCAGGTCATCTTTAAATACCTACGAGCTGAACCTGAGGATCACTATTTTTTAATGGTGAGTTAATGAGACTAGGCAAGAAAATATTTCTGTTAGAGAAAAACTAAATAATGTTCCAAGCATAAGTAGCTCTGCTGGAGGATTTTTCTCTATATATGTCTTTTATTTCTTCAGCAACCGGCAGGGGGAGGGGGTAGGCAGGAGAGGGAGGAGGAAAGTAATCTATAAAGCTTCATTATAATGAAATTCAGTTCATTTTGTGATGCAGGCTACTGCAGGTTGGATTTTGTTTTTGAAAAGCTTCAATCACTTTATTTAAACGAGTTTCTCTTTGATATTTTCTATTTTGAGTGCACTGAGAATTTTATAAGTTTGATTTCATGCACTGATTAGCTTGGTATTGTACTGTTATGACTCTGTTGAGGTGCTTTTTCAAAACTCTTTTTTGCAGACAGAGCCTCCGCTGAACACACCTGAAAACAGAGAGTATCTTGCAGAAATCATGTTTGAATCATTTAACATACCAGGACTTTACATTGCTGTTCAGGTGATCAAAGTGAATATATACTTCTAAAGTACAGTGTAGCTGCAGTATGTACAGTCTTCTGCAAGCACAGGTCTAAAATGTTTGAAACAGTATTTTCTGAGATTATAAATTAGAACGCTGTGCCTGCTTCTAAATACAAACTTTTTCTCATATAGGCAGTGCTGGCCTTAGCTGCCTCTTGGACGTCACGGCAGGTTGGAGAACGAACTTTGACTGGAATTGTCATCGATAGTGGTGATGGAGTGACCCACGTAATTCCTGTGGTATGTGTCAGGATGCAATTTGAAATCACCAGTGGTTTGGGCAAGTACAGGGTTTGTTTACTAGAGATTTAAATAAGAAGTGTCAAATGAAACATTATTTTTAACTTCTTAGTGTTGCTTGGTTGTTTGGGATTTTTCCTCCCTTTTGATTGTTTTGATAAGTATTTTATTAATTGCATAACTAAGTTCAGATAATTTAGCTTGCAGACTATCGGAGGGTCAGAGTAAGGAATTGTCAGGCCATCTTTTAAAGGCTATTTCTATGTAAACCCCTGTCTTCTGTTACTGTGATGCCTCAGTTCTGTTTAATGCTTATCACAGCTTTGGATCTCCTGCATGCCACCAACGTCTGACAAGAAATGACCTAACTTTGTTGATGTCCTGTATTTTGATTGTTTAAGATAGCTGATAACATGTGCTTTTTATATGATTTTATTGTATTTTAGAAGTTAGTGAACTCTGTGAAACAGCTACAAGCTTGTATAAATGCATAATCATTTAAGTGGTCAATCTCATACAGCTTAATTATGTTAGGATGTTAAAAATATAGAATTATCGGTGCATACTGACATCTGTTGATACCATTTTGTGTACTTCAGAAACATACAGTATGCTTGAATGATCAGTTATTTTGGAATGAAAATTTGATTCCCTTTAACTTCATCTTGTGTTTTGGTATTGACCTGATCTTCTCAGTATTTTCATTTATATTAATTTTTCACTCTCAAACAGGACATGAGTGGTCTATTTATATTATGTTTTCTTTTCAGATGATGCCTAAGAGGAAATGTCTGATTAGATAGTCTTCTACTGTGTGCAAGATTTTTGTCTGTCAGTTGTGTATCTATTAGATAATCAATATCTGTTTATATGTGGTAATTGGGGTCTTAAGTAAAAATAACATCCACTTTGCAGTGTGTTGCACACTTTTATACTCATTTTACAGTGTCAAGATAGTACTTTTAGTTAAAAATCAAAACAAAGTGTTATAAAAATGAATGTTAGTTTTGCTGTTAATTATTAATATACACAGTAGGTTTTTCCCTTAACATTTTTTTTCCTCTCCTCCTGTGCAGGCAGAAGGCTATGTAATTGGAAGTTGCATCAAACATATTCCTATTGCAGGTAGAGATATTACTTACTTTATTCAACAGCTCCTAAGGGAAAGGGAGGTGGGAATTCCTCCTGAACAATCTCTGGAGACAGCAAAAGCCATAAAGGTACACCCTTCTTTATCTCTTAATAAATACCTAAATAAAACTCTTTGAGCTAATTTTTTGGCTTTAACAAATTGCCAGCAGCTCTCTTAAAAATGCAAATGTAGGCAGTATATTGTAATTACGCAAGCTTCTGGTGATTTATCCAGTCAAGTGCGGGGGAGGGAGAAAGAGGAAGAAAACCTTCGTGCTAGACTGTTTGGAGTGAATATGTTCTGCAGATTAAATTGGTATTTTAAGCTTTAGATTTGTTTAACGTTTGCTTTTTAATTTAATAAAAAATGAATGTATGTAATGTCAGTAGCGTGATTGTGTGGGTCTGATCTTGCAATGAAGGCTTGCCATTGAACTTCTTTATCGTCACTGACCTCATAGTTGTGACGTTTTTGTTTTGAGAGGCTAATCTAGCCGAGCCAGCATGCAATCGTACCGGAATGAGTAGGCCATGTGCATTGTCTTGTAGGGTTGAGTCTTCAGTAGCCATTTGGGTGAGAACACCTGTAAGAATGCTCACTTATTTTTGTTTTCTGATTGTGTTATACTTTAGTTCAATGATGGAATAAATATTTCGGCAATTTTTAATGCATGGTATTTCTGAACAGGAGAAATACTGTTACATTTGCCCTGACATCGTGAAAGAATTTGCCAAGTACGACGGAGATCCTCGAAAATGGATCAAACAGTATACTGGCATCAACGCCATCAACAAAACCAAGTTTGTTATAGATGTCGGTTACGAAAGGTTCCTTGGACCTGAAATTTTCTTTCACCCTGAGGTAAGGACGGGGACCAGCAGCAGCGAAGTTAGCGGAGGCGTTGCGGTGCGCGTGAAGGG